GAAAAGCAGTGAAAACAAGCAATCCTTGCCACACCAACAGGCAATGGTCAATACAATGAGAAGAGGAGGTGCTGAGATGATAGTATTTATTTAAATCATGACACTGACAGTGCAATGACTATATCTGGTCAACTTAAAAAAAAAAAAAAATAAACCAAAATAGTGTCATTAGCCTCTCAACTGTGCTATGGAACACAATCTGTTGAGATGTAATACATATTGCATATTGAGACGACAGTTTTACGCAGAAAGTGTACTTCATTCAGCTACTTTCACGTACAAGAACAGCAAGTCTGGTATGGAGAGCCTTGAACAAATACTTACGCTTTCTGTAATTAATTTTGTAGCCACTCTGAGACTTCTCATAGCTTCTAATCTCCCCCCAAACCAGTACTACTCTTAATGCTGTATGCTTTTTGGTGCTTCTTAACCTACAAGTAGTTCTTGAAGATACTTTTCCAATGAGGTGTTTAAGAACAAACAATTTCAAGTTCCAAAGTAATGATTACTGCTGCACATTATGAGCTGCTTAACCCAAACAAATTTTCAAGGTGTAATAATCCTTTACTAACAGCTAGCACAGAATAGTAGCTCAGGAACCCTTCCAAAAAGGATAAGAAGTTATTTCTCTTGTTCCTGAAGAGATCACTCAGAAGAGACTATTAGGATTACTCCTACTCCTTTGGGATTCTGATGACATCAGCCAGACAGCATATGTTATCGCTCACCTGAAGACAGGATCTTATACCTCAAGAACAGCCTAGTAAAAAGGCAGCTGAGTTCATTTGACACTATAGCTACAGATCCTGACTTCCGTGGTAGTTCAGCTGCACATTTTATGACAAGTTTGGTAACCATACTTGACCAGGAAAACAACCAAGCAAGTCCTCCTTCCGAAAAAGACATATTTGTTTGACCTTGCTTTTTTCTTTTTACTTTTTTTGAAATTAAAACAAAACAAGCCACCTCAGGATCTGGCTGTAATGGCTATAACAGGATAATCAAATATCTGATGAGCACAGCTCTCCAATCTTACAGAGGGAACTTGTGGTTTCTGCTCATCTCTACTAATTAGATGCAAGTATCAGAGCAACATCACCACCTTCAGTGGTCCCCATCTTCCTGTATTTATTTAGCACTGAAACATAAAAAGCAGCAGACAATCCTCAGACTGCTGCTGTTCTCCTCTTACTGGGTTTCTAAATCTTTGCCATTCACCGGGAAAGGCACTTTAATATTATGTAGACATTGGATATAATGAAGTTGACCAGAACAGCTTTGCTCTGCGAAGATGAAATGGCAACATAAACACATGACAAGGACTAGTGGAATTTCTCCAGTAATTTGCAACTGCTCCCCACGTAGCTGCTGCAAAGTCACTATAGACTGCACCCGGCAGAAAATATCAAACTGTCAAGTTTCTGGTATAATACTAAAAGAGGGCTGCAAGAAAACTGGATAGGAAGCTCTGTGGAAGGTACAGGTTTTGGATTTGTGTACATCTTACACAGCTGGAATCCCTAAACTAGCAAGTATAGCAGTGTGTGGACTTCCAGGTTTGTTCCGGACGCAGAGTTGCTGCTTTTCTGAGCTACTACACCCGTGTGAGGAAGTCATGCCAGGAAGCCACGCCAAAAGGGCAAGCTGTCTTATACAGAACAAGCTCAAATGTGCCAGTATCACATACTGAGCTGTTCTTAGGGTTAGAGAGCACAGAGCTACTTTGGGACCACCAGCACAAGAGCTGCAGGTATATATACTCTCTCTGTTTCCCATACAGAAACTCCAGATTGCTCTAGGGATTGGACTTGGATTACCTCATATTAGCAGACGAGGTAAAGCTCCGCCGTTCTCCTCCAAACAGGAGCATTGTTTCACTTTTAACAAAGCACTGAGCGAGAAAAACTTAGGAAAGTCCTCATTCCCAACTGGTAATGTTGCAGGAACTGACAAAAGCAACGACTCAAAAAGCAGCCACCACAAAATCCAGTCCTGAAGCATACTGCCACTCTCATGAGCCGTGCTATCAAGTGGGCAACTATCGGAGTCCATGGGTTTGGCGTCGATTCAACCATTTACCATGTGATACCTACCACCAATAACACAGAACATTTGGAGGTGGTGTCAGACCACTATGAGTGTAGTACCTTGGCATAAAAGTTGCTAAACCAGGTCTTATCAGAAGAGGCCTGGATTTTAAAGTAAACTCCTCAGGTGGAAAGATACCAGAGGTGGGGGAAAGAAGGGTGAAAGGCAGGAGGGGAGGGAAGAAAGAGCCATGGCTTGTCCCACTTCCTCTCCCTTTACCTTGGGAAAGTGAAAGCAGTACAGCTGTTTCTCGGAGGCCTGGAAAAGGTGGTGGTTATGAACAGAAACCTAACTCACGTCAGAGCTGGCCAGATCATGTTTATTCCTAATTGAAAACTGACTTGCAGATAAAGTTTTAAACAGCCTCCCTTTATATTAACAAAAAATGCCCAAATAACAAGGAAACCCAACAACAGGGCACTGGAATATTTGTTAAATGATATGCCTTTCACCTCAGCAAAACAGTAATCTGCTATGTCCATGAAACAGAGATATAATTACCTCACACAAAAGGCAGTATTTGAACCATGGCATTTTTTGATAAATCAAAAGAGTAAGAGCTTGGACAACAAGAAATTGAGAGAGAAACCTGCCCAGAAATAAAACTAGACAAACAGGTTCTACATTAACTTGTAACCTACAATAAACAGATACTGAAGTGCAAAATTAATCAGCTTTTACTCCAGCTTCCACTTTGCAGACACAATCAGCTATGTAAAACCACAGTATGATGCACTACCATTAAGACTTTGGATGTTGGTGATGAAATAACAGCTAGAGCAAGGGCCTGAAACCAAAGAACACCAATATTAAGATAATACAATTATGATCACAGAGAACAACACGTATATCACTAGTCTACATGTGGAAAAACATTTGAAAAATCTCCTTCAGCGTGTTCCCTAGTATTATGTTTTTCTTTATTTATTTTGAACCTGCACAGTTGCAAACTCTCCCTGTGAGAGAAAGAAAAGCCCCAGACTTTTACAATCAAGGAGTTATATCACAAAACAACATCTTGTGACCTTCAAATGCTTTTCCTTCTGCCCTTTGGGCTTTAAAGTGCACTATGCAAGAAAAAAAAGCCAGAAGCATCACCCTCTGTTTCAAGCACTCTGAAAAGAATAGGGGTATAATATTGCAAAGTCTAGGACAACCACCTGCTTGATCTCAGTTTCGTAGTTTGGTAGCTCACTGCTCTGGCACAGGACCAAATAACGCTATCACACTCCAGCCATCAAGTCTCAAGCACTCTGGGAAATAAGTGTTGACATGGTTTTCTCCTGACCATTTCTGGCCAAAACACAACTCAGAGAAGCCAAACCACCTTTCTTTTAATCTTAAATGAAGTGCACACCAGGAAAAATTAAAGGCCACCCTTAATTGACAACTGATATGAAAGGCTGCAGAATAAACTCTGTAGATGGGCATATTAAATATTGCCTCCTCATTCTAAAAAAAACCCAAACAAATATGCTAGACTTGTTGCTGCTAATAAATATATCACCTTTTAGTCCAATTTATCCTCATTAACAATGAACAGAACAAAGAATTACTCCAACTATTGACAGTGCCCATACCTTTTACCTCCAAGCAGTGATTCTGAAAAGTCTGAACTAGACTAGTGTTATTCTCCCTAACAAAATTAAGAAAACAAACTATTTAATAAAATTCTTGAAAGCATCAGCACTGATCATTCTAGGATGAATAATATACTCAAATCATAAATAAATGATAAATATTTCTGATACTCGGAAGAATGTTTACACAGTTCTTTAAACTCATTAAGTAGTTTTAATAGAAATAAGGATAAATGCAAACAGTAATACAGCATCTATGTGTGTGGTTCTTCTCTGCATGTGTGACCTTGGGAGAAAGTGAGAATCAATATTAACTAGTAAACCTGAAGTTCACAGGAAACTGTAATATACATCTCACATTTGAGATGTGTAAAACCAGGACCTAGCCAAAGCCGGTTCACTAGCCAAAGCATTCATTAATGTTTACCTTTGTTATACAACACTGTTCTGAATTACTCACTGAGAAACTTAATACACACAGAAGTATCCCCGCTATGTAGGTTTCTTCCTCTGAGATAAAATGATTCCAAACCACATTCCTTTAAGTGGAGTCTAGCAACAAAAACTAAATAGAGGGGGAAAAGGACTCCCAGCAGCATTCTTATTTACAACTTGGTAAAGCAAAATAAAAAAGCAAAATTTCTATTTCTGACCATGTTTAAAAGAAGCAAAAAACCAGATGAACTTGACCACAAAAGTTAATGACATGTAATACAAGTATACAGACCTTTTCAATGAATAGAATTCACTAGGTTACAGCAAGCAAAACCAGCTCTTTTCAGATGACAAATAAGGGCACGGACCACATGCCAAAATCAGAAGGTACCAAGTCTAGCTTATCAGCCAACTGACATCTAAGTACATTTTTCTTTAATTCAGAAACAGGAATAGAGAAATAGTTATTTTTTTCTGAAACCTGGTTATTAGGAAGCTGAAATACCTCATGCTCCAACAGTTAAAGGGCATCTCAATATTTAGAGGCCTCCTGAGCTCCCTTGCCCAGGTACACATCCTGGCTAGGTCTTGGCTGCATGTCTGGATGAAGCTTCTGTTTCATGCATCCCATACTACTACATACCCTGTTCTGCTCTGGAGACTTACTTTACTTTTACAGAAACAGAATTTATGGGGTACTCCTAGTGTAGGCAAGAAACAGACCAGAACTCGAGTGCATCAGTCCTTCATTGAGACAAAGAAAGGGTATCATAGAGAGTCACCCGTTTGTGGGAAGCACCTACTGAAATACCTGAAATGAAGATTAGCATATGAACAATGAAATCTCAGGATGATTAACAAACCTAACAAAGGAAATAATGTAAAAAAAAGTTCTACCTTCTTTTCAGTGGGACTTGAAGTCTTTGATACTAAGGCTGCTTCAACAAGACCCTGCTCAAGTAAGGAGTCATATTTTATGCTTCTTTTTCTGTTTCTCCTCTCCTTGTTTGCTGGCTTTTGTTCATTCTCCTCTGACTGTGACACATCTGCACCATTGTCTCCACAAATGGAAGATTCAAAAAGAGGCTTTCCATTCATGTAGGTTTTAGTGATTTTCAGCTTAATCTCTGGAGAGCCATTCTTGATAGGAGTAGTGTTGGGTGGTGTTCCAACTCCCTTTATTTCCTGGGGTTCAAAGCGCAGCTTGGCATCTTGGGCCCCAGACTCGCCATTAAACACACGAGAGGTTAGATCTTTCAATTTATCAGCTGGAATAAATGGAAGAGCCTCATGGCCATTATATTTTTGCATGACACCTTCTTGCAGAGTGGCAGAAAGTTGTGCTTTGCCCAAGTAGACAGAACACTCACGATTCACTTCACAATTCTGAGTTTTTCCATTGGTATTTCCAAGGATCTCTGGTACTTGCTTCATTTTGATGTAGTTAATTTTTCGAGTTAACAGTTGAGAACTTCTTTTGATGCTAAAGTCCATTCAGCCCAGATGTTTCCAGTCTTACACTGCTATATTAAGACAAAAAGGCAGAGAATATTTTTAATAATACAGAAATGTCAAAAGCTGACAAGTATTCAAGATAGATGTCCCCACTAATATAACACTCAATGTATTTCATTCAAGTTTTTCTTAAAAAAAGTGTTGCTTACAATCTTCATAACCAAAATACTTGAATATCTGTTAATATGTATTACAAAAAAGTCCAAGAAAAATAGATTGATGAATCATTAATTTTATTAAAACAAAAGCAGAGAGCAAATCACAGCTTCAATTTTAACAATCTGTGAACAATCCACAGCACGAGTCCTGCCCACACCAAATACTCAAAAGGTACTGCACTGTTTAAAACAAGTAAGAGTTAGACTTAAGATAATATCATTAACAACAATGTAAAACAGTTTATTTTTAAGAGGTCGTGCCAGAGTAAAAACCCCTGGGCTGTATTGCTGTAGCGCCTACACCATGGACAGCAGCATCACAAGCTTCTCTTCCTCACTCTACAAACTGGTGCTCAGTCTTCCATCAAAGCATACCTCCTGAGGAAACAACACAGCTCAGTCTTCAGACATATCCCAAAGTGTTCTGGCTATGAGAACAAATAAAAGCTGAGCATTCTGTATCATGAACACCAGCCCACTGGGAAACAGCTAATTCCTCAGGCCAGTGGCCATTTAAAAGGTCAAAGCAACTGGGGGAATTTCAGCTTCTTAATAACAACAATAACATCACCTAACACCCATTTTTTCATACAGAAATTTGAAAACGTCCAACAAGCTAAAACTGCATTATCTGCCCTAGACAGGTTTTCTGAGGGTTCTAAAAGCTAACCCTGTCCATTTCAACATTACACTACCATAGCAAGCAAATTAATCTGGCAGAATGACTCCTTTGTGCTCCTAGACCAGGCAAGATGATTGTTTTAACTCTAAAATTCATATGCATAGACTCTTCATATTACCAGGCCTAGTGTCTTCATGATATAAAGAAATACACATTTATAAACATTATGAAAGCTCAGCACAATAATCATCGAAACCATTCTCAAGGTAACGAATTTCATATATGATTAAGTTCAAGACCTGTCACATCGAATCAAAAATTCATCAAATCTAGTCTTACATGCTTCCAAAAACATGCAGCAACAACCATGATGAATAACTACTCAATTGTCAGCTGCTATGGAAGAAATTTATTCTGAATCTCACCACTTTGTTTATTAATGTACAGAGCTATAATGCTTACAACTGGCATATTCCTGAAACTTTCATATTTGTTACCTCTATATGTGGAGTAGCAATGTAAAAATGCTTATAACTGAGCCTTATCCTAGCCTGGCAAAGCTTCTTAAGGGTGTTAACTCAAAGCAACTGGCCAACATGAAACCTTTTCATGAACAAGGATGCAGAAAAAAAAATATAAAAATCATAAGTACATCACTCCTTAGCAGATGCTCCCATTTCCCTAGCAGGCTACCTACAAGATAAAAGGCTAGCTCTCCATACAAGCTATATACACTCATTTGAGAGATGAAAACCATTCTTCAGGGACAAACAGCAGACAAAAAGCTGGCATTAAACAAGTATACCTGACTCCAAATGTATCTGCAACAGGAAAGGTTCTAATCTTTCTTTAGCCAGATAAAGTCAGAATTACAAATAAAATCTCTGACAAAATGAGTGGAAACTAGCCAACTGTATTAACCCTTTTGAAGAGGAGTCAGAGGTAAAAGGAAAATCAAAACTCCACCAGAACAGAAAAAAAACCTCACTAAACCGAAAGAGAACTCACGTAATTTCACAAGATCTTCTCTGAAAACACGGACATGAGGCAGACTCTCAACCAATTAATAACATGACAATGTTTCAAGCTGTGATTCAGAAAACTGAACTGCAATCATATTTATTTTAAGAAACAACTGATGACAAATTCAATAAATCTTCAGGCAAAAGGCAAACCCATTAGAGAACACGTGACGCTTATGGTTACGCAGATGACAGCAAAATTCATTAAAAAAACCTCCAAAACACTGAATTGTTGCAAAATCTGTACTTCCTTCCCACAGATTCCTAACAGAGTAAACCAGAATGCAAAACAGAGATTTGATTTAGGCACATAAATTCCCTCTATCTAAAAAACAAGCCTTCAAGTGAGCAGCTTTTCTGCGGCTGCAGACGCCCTCCAGTGGCTGCCTGAACCAGCCAGAGCAGCGAACACCGCAGCTCTCCACTTCCTGCCTGACAGACTGCTGCTAATCACAGCTTCTTATAAGAAGACCAGCACCAAAAATACCTTGTGTGACTTCCTCCCATCCATCAACTACACGGTTAAGTTGAAAAAAAATTTTTAATATGGCTCCATTATCTGGATCTGGATTTCTGGATTGAGACATCTGCGTTTTGTAACTCTGTTTCAATCCATGGTTCTACCAGTATTTTTTTTGTCTTGCTTAATAATGACTCTTGCTCTCATCACTTACTTCTTTAAGCTAGAAAGCCATCAAGCTTGAGGCAGACCAGGACAGCTCAAAGAAACCAACAAATAATCACATTAGACTATGTTACTGGTGTACTCAATGTCAAAACACTGGATGCATTTAAAAAGCAATAGTTTTAGAAGTTTCAAAACATAAAAATTATCATCGAGTCACAGAATAACTTAGGCTGGAAGGGACTTCCTAAAATCACCTATTCCAAGCCCCTGTTTAAATCAGGGTCCATTGCAGATTAAGCTGCTCAGGGCCTTGTCTGGCCAACAACCAATAACAAACTAACTGAAAAGACATAGCTTAAAGAAATCAAGGTATTCTCTTACCAGCTAATAAACCTAAGGGTAGTACTTCCATATCACACAAATACAAAGATCAGTAAGACCAGGCAGTGAAAGACCCTGAACTTTTAGGGGTTACCTTGACTCACCTAATACGTCTGAAGATAGACAGCATGCAAATTTTAGAACTTTAATGAGTGAAGGTTCAGTTAATGATTCTCACTAATACAGGGCACTAAAAGCAGTGCACTGAAAAAGGCCCCTCAAATCACTGGAGCCTAGACAGACAACAGATCTAGGAGTGCAATTCGTAAAAGGAAGTCAGTGTATCCAAGCCAACACTAAGATGAAGACAAAGGCAGTAATTTGAGACAGTAAGATTATCAGAACCAGTAGATACAGATCATAGAATATAGAACATAAGACCATGTTTGTACAAAGATTTAATAAGAGACAAGAGGCAGAATAACAGGCAAAGATAATAAATGTGAGTACGTGTAAGTATAGTCCCACTGGGAAGATGAGAGTTGCAGAGAGCAACTTGCAGGTTAGTCACCATCTCTAGGACAACCAATGGTGGCAAATTGGCAAAACGCATTTCATTCCTCCTTGTAAAAAATAAGCTACATTGTAGGGTCTGGTTAAATGGAAGAAGCTAGAAAAATCTACATATAATAATAACAAAGGGTTTTGAGAAAAAAAAAGCAAAATTGAAGCTAGTTAAATTTTGCAAAACCTTTGCTATTTAATATTCCTGGTACCACAATATCAAGCAAGAAAAAAGATGAGGCTCTTTGTGAGAAGAGGACAACAGAGCAGAAAAGAAAAAAAGGGGCAAGGAAAGAAGATGATCAGCAACAGATAAACAAGCAGTACTGTGAGCTTAGAATTAACACAAGGAGGTCTAGAAGGCAGGCCATGAAAGAATGAAGTGAGATAGATCACAGACAAGATCTGGTGATCAAAGTTGTAAGAGTAAGGTCCTGAGGTAGCTGAGCATATGATTAGATTTAGTAGTTATATTAAGTGCACTCGTGCTGGACCACCACATCACACAGAAGCAGAAGTAATCCCCTACCTCCTTCTAGATGACCCTGTATCTATAGAAGAGGAAACTGGAGGGGGGGTACAGAAAGGAAGGGGACAAAAGCACCACACAGTAGTAGCAGCTAATGAGATTAAGCCAGTATCGTTCCATCTGACTGTCTGGTGACCCAACAAGTACCATTTTGACTAACAAAGAGGAAAAAACATGATAACCAAGGAGTCTGCTAAATAAACATTATATTTTGGCTTGTGAACAAATAGCTTTCAGTAAGCAAAAGAAGATTTGACTTATCAGAGGAAGGTCTCTAGATATTTAATCAGACAATGACGATCGGACAATCCTTGCAATGGCTTTGTACACATTTTCATACTAATAAAAAAGCTTCTACACAAGGCAAATTATTTTGCAGACATTTTAAATAATGTTATTAATTACTTGAAGGTCCATCATCTGACAGGAGTCATGAGCCAAATACAGTTAGTCTGCATGTCAGATTCCTCCTTCACTGTCCAGGCCACTATCATTTATGTGATATTTGTTATTCATTTCTTCCACATCTGCTGCAATTTCAGAGATGCATTTCTTGTGTGTCACAAATAATGGAGTAGTCCATTCCTTCCAATTCTGCCAAAGGGAGTGAACAGAGTCAGTAATCAACAACAAGCATCACTACTAAATATCACTTTTGTTTTGTCTAAGGGTTTTCTTAAAGTCAGTTCTCAGATGAACTACTCGGGGCTGGGGCGAGGGGAAGAAGGGGAACATGACACACCTAAGCACAAATTCACGGTAAGAGAACTTTATCCACAAAAGCTATTTTTATTACCTACAAATGAGGCTTTTAGCTGGCACTGAAAAAGCTAATAGATGGCTGCTGCTTTTTTCTGTAAAGATAGCTTTCTCGTAAGTCTTCTCCATTCTCTCATCAATTTTAAGACCAAAGGTTATTCCTATTTTCAGATCAGAATGAGACAACATACTTAAAGATACTAGCAAAGTTAAAACACATTCTCAATAATATATTTGAAAACTTGAGTATGCTTATTCACATTATCTTGTATAAAAACCCTAAAATATAAAATAAGAGTAGAGACATATTTACTATTATGCTGCACATTGTGACTGTTCTTCACTATATTAAAATAATGAAAAGTTACTACAGGATCTAAACAGAATTTACTTTTAGAAGAAAACTCTT